TTCATTTTATCAAGAACCCACCTCTGCAGTGCATCGTGATTGGACAAAATCTCGAAGAACTCTCTCAGCGAGTGATCCTCTTTCAAGAACTCTTGACTGGTTTTTGTAATAAGGTCGCCAATATCGATTCTGCATTCTTCACAAGGCGTTATTCGGATGTTCACTGTACAATGCCCCACTAGTTCGCGTATTTCTTTAGGTAGTTCTTCCGCACAATATTCAAAGCAAAGGAACTGCAAAAAGTTTCAAATTCACTTTAGATCGACGACTGTCATCCACAGACGACGAGCTGCACAACAAAACACGTATACACCACCCACAAACGCATTTGAGAAAAGAAAGTACCATAATAAGGCCCAGTGCCACTTACCTCCTGATTGAGCCGCTTCTTGGTGTACAGCTTGTTCGACCGGTTATACCAGTAAGTGACGCCCTTATGATTACTGTCCAACACGTGTTTCACTAGTAGCCCACATTTCTGATGGCGCAATGCCATAACAGCACTACAAAGAAAACATCTCACGCACAGTGAAAAATAAAGTGGAAAATACAGGGAAAAATAAAAGTAAAAATTCGGCAAAAGATTTGGCCAACTCATCCGAGCATGTCTATGCGCTGTTCACTTCAGTTTTGTTCAAGCTGCTGACAGTTGCTACCTGCAGCATTCATGTGAGACTAAATCTTAAAAAGCTGTCGCTGCTAAATACATGCCATAGATTTCAGACTTTTTTCCTTGTATACCAGCATAAAAAGTTTGTTTCGAACATTTCCTGGTCTAGGAGTGTCCTAAAAACGGTGCGCCTTAAAGAATTAAAACATACACATTTTTTGAACCGCCGAATAGATCCTTCGTAGTCTGCTTGAGCTCTTCTTGCCCCGCAGACTCTTCTTCCTTCGCTCGCCTCGCCATCTCTTCCTCTTTACACTTTCCCAACAAGCACGGGAAATTTATTGTAATTTTCACGTCATGCTGATATACAGTGTCTTGATCACGGTTCAGCTTACAGATGTTTGTTTCAACTTCGAAAAAATTTTTATCTGAACTTTTAACTGGTGGGAGCTTCTTTGCCATAACACGTTCTGCAAAAAGTGGTCATCTGCTTCAGGATAACAAAGAAATTTAGCAGGACACACATACATACAAAAAAGAAAGCATATCAGGTAAAACAAGCTAAGAGTGAAGTGTAAATGTATGCGTTCAAGCACGGTATGCGTGTATACTGGTGCGCAAAGAAAAATGATACCCAGTTGCCAATACGTATGAGATCAAGTGAGTGCACAGAGCAAACTGTAGATTGCGAAGTCAGTGCTTGATTCTGAGACAGCTGAAATTGCTGGGGTGCGATTTCAAAGCTAACATAAGACAGACGAAACCTCCTTTTCCCGAATGCAGGAAGATTGGGATCCCAAACGGCGGATTAGGATAGAAAGAATGTTTATTGTGGTGTTAGCAACAAGAACTCTGGCTACGATGGATGCTCGTAGTATCTTTTTGTTTTATAATCAAGCGACAAATAGCGATTTCTATAATCAAGCGACAAATAGCGGCAAGTCTGTTTCTTACACCTTATAAAAGCCCCCATATCTTGCTTCCTGGTCCATTCTTATTCTTCATCTTCTACTGGTTCAGCTACATAACCCAGGCTGGAACGCACCAGGGGGGTCGGTGCGATTATGCGTTTTTGCACTTTTCGTACCGTAGCAAGATCGCAAGGAGTCAATGTAG